AGGGCGCGGCGCGCACCCCGGCTGGGCCAGCTCATCTCGGGCACTTGCAGAGGGGCAGGAGCCTGGCACGGCCCGTGACCAGGCGTGCTTTCAAACCAGTGACATTGTACGCGGCTTTTTCCGGCGCCAAGCTGTGTAACAAAAACCCCTCGGTTAGACAGATCCTGCCATCGCACAGATCTGTAGCGTGGGTCCTGCGGTCACACCATCACTTCGCTCTCTTACAAATACCGTGTGTCATTCACTTATTAAAACTGACCTGTCGCTTTAGACTTTGGAGTACAGACCTTCCCCAAATGACTACTGCTAAACCTTCTGTGACATGGCATAGCTTTAATATAACAAATTTTGTTATTGGTTAATTTATAGCCAATTTAAGAAAATTAATTACAGTATATAGCAGAACCTGACCAAATACCAAGACTTCATGAAAAATGTGGAAGCTCTTGAACTCAAAATACTTTCCAAAAATGTTATTTTTAAAGCTGGCATTTCAAATCAAAGCCATGCACTTTCTTACACTGATACCACTTCAAATAAACCTCAAGAAATTCCCAGATTTTGAATGCCAAGTTTGCTACAAGACAGGGCTTTGATCCTTTGTCAAAGTGACAATTCTCTGCTGAAACTGATCACGTACATTTTCTCTCCATTCTAAATACTTCATTGACCTGTAATTCATGCTAATCCCACAGTACATTGACTGATGAACTGTTAGGTCAAACCAAATCTGAATTTAATACACTCACTTCTGCTACAGCTGCCTAAGCACAGTAGAGAAACAGAGACAGGAAAACAACTTCATCATGTTAAATTTCTCATCTCTCCAAAATAAACAATTAAGGAAAAAAGTGCTGGTGCCCTCAGGCATTGCATCGGAGACTCTTTCCTTATGAACCTGCCATGACAGGTACAGGTAGAACAAGATGAAAGAAGAGGGAACAATCATTCCATCTCATCCCATGACGGCAGATGAGACAGAAGAAAATCACCGTACACCCAAAGGCATAAGGCTTATCAGCGCAGAAACAAAGAATAGTTTGGGTAGAAAAGCACCTATAAAAGTGACCTAACCCAACCCCTCTGCAGTGAGCAGGCACTTTCAAACAGACCAGGTTGCTGAGAGCCCCATCCAACCTGGCCTTGAATGTGACCAGGGATGGAGCACCTATCACCTCTCTTGACAATCTGTGTCAGTGTTTCACCACACTGACTGTAAAATATTTCTCCCTTATATCCAGTCCAAACCTACTCTAAGATATTCTAAGGAATAATTGCATAAACCAAATATGCAAAAACTTGCTGAAAAAATCATTTGAGGCTTTGGACCTTGGCAAACTTTTCTGGAGGTATCACAAAGTCCTCCATATATGTGAATAGCCTTTCTGATGTCAGTGAGGGTTACAAGAATAATTGCCTCCCCTGATATATCCACACTGGGCAGGACATTCCTGGGTGTGGAAAATCCCTTGGCCAGGTGGAGTCAGCTGTCCTGGCTGTTCTCCCTCTCAGCTCCTTGTGCACCTGCTCACTGCCAGAGCACGAGAATCTGCAAGTCCCTGAGTGCAGGTGAGCGCTGCTCAGCACCAGCCAAGGTGTCAC